TGGATGGGTTGGGATCAGACTTGGTGATTGTGGAGACACTTTCCAGCCCCAATGATTCTGTAGCACACGGTGTGCACGACGGTGGGGTTCCCTCACCCCAATCCCACCACCGGCCCCACCACCCCTCGTGTTCTCCACATCCCCTCCTCCCCCATGTTGGCTGTGCGCAGCACTCACTGTTGATGCCCTCCGTGTTGGTGATGGTCCCACTGCAGATGGCGTCGTAGTACTGCTTGTTGCTCATCAGTGTGTACATCCCCAGGATGGCTGTCGGACACCCGTGGGGTCACCGCACACCCCAGACCCCCCTGCAGCCCCCGGGCAGCCGCAGCTCCATGGGGTGGGCAGGGGCCCAGGCTGAAAGCCGAGCGCAGGGCAGCGCCGCTGTTGGAGCCAGGGGCTGGCGGGGACCCAACGGCCACAGCATTGGGGGGCGGGGAAACGGGGGGACGCGGGTGTGACGTGGGATGGGGAGGACGGAGACGGGCGTGGGGCAGCGGTGTGGGGCAACAGCAGCTCTGTGCAGCGCAGCCCTTCGGCACGGCAGCCCCGTGCTGGACCCACCTGCGATGTCACACATCTCGGCATCGGTGGCGTTGGCCAACGCCTCCTCCAGCTCCGGCTCCAGCGTGATCTGCTCCTCGCGGGGGATCTCCCGTGTGGGGTTTTTGGGTACGAAGGGTTTCCCTGTACAGGGAGATGTGGGTCGCACCCCCCCATGGCCCCACAGCGGGGGGTGACACCAACCCCCCGACCTTGGCGACCGCCAGGCCAGGGAGGAGCACCCTGGGGGGGGGACATGTTTAGGGCTGGCAGCACTGGGGGTGGCATTGCCAGCACTGTGACATTGCTGGGGGGTGGCCATGCCCAGGGCTGGCGGGGGCCCAACTCGCCCGGGACATCTGAGCTGCTGGTGAGCTCTGTGCTGCCAAGCTAAATATACCTGGTGCTGCGGTGCCATGTCCCCCCACGACGTCCCCCCACGACGTCCCCCCACGACGTCCCCCCACGACGTCCCCCCACCTTTCTTCTCCCCAGTGAATGGCACCAGGTCCTCACGCTCCTTGGCCTCCAGCGCCTGCTTCTCCAGGTGCTGCAGCAGCGCCTCGCGGTCCAGCGGCCCCGTGGGGCTCTTGTGTGTCTGATCCCGCTGCCGCAGCCCCGCCGGCAGCAGCACGTTCTGGGGAAGCACCAGGGGACACCCATGGGTGCCACCGCTGCCCTGCCTGCCCGACCTCCCCCCCCCGTGCTGTGCCGACCCCCGGCCGCACCTCGGGGTCCATTTCCAGCAGCTCAGTGTCCAGCTGCTCCAGCTCCTCGGCTGACAGCTCCTGTAGGATCTTGTCCTCGTCGATGTCCCTGTATTTCTCCAGCTCTTGCCGGTAGGAAGTCATGGCTGCTGGATCTGGGGGGTGGGGGGGCACACAACGCTGATACCTCCAGCCCTCTGTGCCACAGCGGAGCCGTGGGGGTTACTGGGGGGCTGAGGGGGGTCCTGTCGGCTGGGCGCTGTGGGGCACCCCTGGGTCTTGGGCCTCGCTGTGGTGCTTTTGGGGAAAGTGAGTCACAGCTCAGCGCTGCTCCCCACGGCCCCACAGCCCTCCATAACCCCCCCTCCTGCACCCCACAGCCACCCGGGAGGAACCACAGAAGCACACTCAAGACGCGGAGCCCTGTGCCCCCCGAGGGACCCCCAAGGGATGGGGATTTGCCCCCCAACCCGCAGCTCTGAGGATGGGAAGGGGGCACTCAGGGGGACACTGGCAGCAACTCCAGCAGCGACCCGAGCTGACAGCCGCAGGAGAAACCCGATGGCGCCGCTCGGCACGGGGACCCCCAGCGGGACCCTGCGACCCCCCCCAAGGTGGCGTCCTTAGTGGGGCACCTCCACCCCCATCCCCCCTCCCAGGCCCTACCTGGCCGTCGGCCGGGGCTGTGGAGCCTGCCTGGGCTGCACCCGGTGCTGAGCCAAGGGCTCCGGCCGCGCAGGGCATGAGATCAGCGTTTTATTCTGCGAGCCGGCAGTGGGGAGGGGCGAGATCACATAACCCGCTGTTATCGAGCCCTGCCAGCGCCCCGCGCGGCTCCACCCCGGCACCCGCCGCCAGGAGCCCCCCCGGGCATCGGGGCTCACTGCTGCGTCCCTCCGCCCCATCGGGGGCAGGTTTGGGGTTGGTGGCGCGGGGGGAGCCTCTGCCACTGGGCTCCTGGGGCTGAGACCACCTGCCTGCTCCGCTCGCCTCCAGCCCCACTCAGAAAAGCTCCCCGGGGCTCAGCTGCGCGCGAGAGGCACCGCGGGTCTCCCTGAAAACAAGGCCTTGTTTCATCCCGCGGGATCCGCCAGCGCTGAGGGCGCAACCTGCGCCCCTCACTGCACACCTTCACCTGCACCTCACTGCCAGTTCTTTCCTTTTAATTAAAAACCCCCAAACAACAAAACACCAACAGTAGGAAGCAGATAAATCGAGCGAGGATCCGTCGCCGCCCCACGGGAGGCTCAGGCCGTGGGCACGCTCTGCTTGATGATGATTTTCTGGCGCGTGGGGCGGAGGCCGGGATCGGGGCCGGGAGGAGCAGCCCCCAAAGCTGCGGAGGCGGCGGCGGCGCTGGGCAGCCCGTGGGCCGTGATGTACTTCTTGTAGGCCTCGCGGATGATTTTGAAGGCGCGGATGTTGGAGTAGGGGATGTCTGTGATGGGGTCGCGGTACACGGCCGGTTTGTGGGTGACCGGGCAGATCTCCCGCACCGGCAGCCGCGGCGCCTTCGCTTTGGGGAAGAAACGCTCGAAGGTTTCGTCGTCGGTGAAGGAGATGAAGGTGCGGGAGCATTTCCCGCTGGAGGCCGGGGCTGCGGCAGCGTCCGCCTGCTGCGGGTCTTGGTCCAACCTGGAAGAGGTGGAGTCAGCCCTGAGGGATGCACGGCGCTGGGGGAACCCAGGCAGCCCCGCAGGAGCAGAATGTGGGGCTGTGGGCAGTGCCAGCCCAAACCCGCAGCTCTACTCAGCCTCAGGGTTGGGGATGGGAGCGGTGGGGGAAACCAGCGGGATCGCATCCAGTGCCCCAAATTACCCCTCCACGTCCACATTCTCCTCCTTGCCCAGCTCTGTGATGAGGGGCATGGTGACGGACCAGTACCGGATGACGGGCCCGACGCACTTCCTCTTCTTCTGCACCTGCTTCTTCTTGTCAGCCTCCAGGCGTTCGTAGTTCTCTGGGAAAGCAGAGATGAGCCCGGGGGGGGGGGTCAGCCCCCCCCAGCGCCCGCGCCCCCAGCCCCCACCCCGCTCTCTTCTCACCCAGCGAGCGGAGGTTGATCTCCTCCGTGATCTTGGCCTCCTCCAGCAGCTCCTCCTGCGTCAGTGGGCGGTCGTAGTTGGGGCCGCCCTTCTTGCGCTTGGACTGCACCTGGCGCTCCTGGATGCGCAGGAAGGTCTGCCGCGTGTGTTCCGTCGTCGACTGCCGCATGTGCTTCCGGCCTGCAGCAGAGGAAGGGGCTCAGGTGGGGCCAGCACAGCTCCCGGGGCAGTGGGGTGCCCAGCTCCAGCCCAGGGAAGCCGGCGCGTCCCAGCCTGCCTCCACTCACTGTCTCCCACTTCATCCTGGAGCTCCAGGGGGGCCGATTTCACCTCTCGGGCCTTCTGGGAGCCGCTGCTGGGGGTGTCGGCCTTCTTGGGTCGAAGGCTCTTGATGGGCTCCTAAGGGTTGGGCAGGAGGGAGAAACTGCATGGGGCTGCCGCTGTGAAATGGCCCCAAAGGGACACCTCCTCCCCACTGTTAGCAATTAGCAGGTTGGCAATTATCCCATCCTTTTGGGGACACCTGTATCCCCTCCCAGCGGGTCAGAGGACACTCAGGGGGACCCGAGCCCCACGCCCAGCTGTCCCCTCACTCTGTAGGCCTTGGTGACGACGCGGCGGCGCCGCTTGGGCTCGCTCTCATCCTGGTCGCTCGTTGGCTCCTCGCCCTCATCGATGTCGAAGTCTGAGTCCACCTCGTCGTCGCTGTCCGACTGGTCGCCCCGGTACTCGTCATCACCCGACTCCTGAGGGGTGGAAGGGCAGCGTCACACCGAGGGCTGTGCTCCACCACCACCCCAATGGGGAAACCCCTGACAGCTGCCCCTGAAGTTCCTCCCAGCCCCCACTTCGAGCCCCTCCCCCACTCAAGGGCTCTCTAAAGCCACCCCTGCCCAATTCTGAACCCCTCAGTGCCTCCAATCCCTTCAGGACCTCCCCCGGTTTCCCTCACGAACCCCCTCAGGGTCCTCCCAGGTTCCTAAATGCCCCGATCCCCCTCAGACCCTTCTCCAGCCTTCATTCAAACCCTCTCAGCTCCCCTCACACCCCCTAAAGCCCTTCGCCTCCCCCCACAACCTCATAAAGCCCCTTTCTTCTCTTCAGGGCTCCCCTGAGGACCCCCGAGCCCCTCACGACACCCCGACCCCCTTGGTGCCCCGGGTCCCCTCCCAACCCCCCCTCCAAGGTCCCGCGCCTCCCTTCAGCGCGCCCCAGAGTCCCTCCGACCCTCCCATAAAGCCCCTTCCTGGACGCACACCTCAGTGAAGCCGCCATACGTGGTCTGGTAGAACTCGTCCTCCTCCTCGGCCTCCAGCAGCCCCGACAGGCGGTTCCCGGCCGTGCGCCGCGGGGCGCGGCCTTCAGCCAAACTCATCGCGGCGCCGCCGCCGCCATCGGCGCTCGACTCGTCGTCCTGCCGCGGGAGGAGCGAGCGACGTAGCGCCCCCTTGCGGGCCGGAGGTGCGGAAGGCTCCGATGTTTTCTATTGGTCGCCCTCGGCGCGTCACGTGACTCGCGCCTCGCGCGCCCTGAAAGACTTCCCCTCCGCTCGTCACGTGTCACGCATCCCGCGCATGCGCTTTGAGCGATCCCGCCCCCCCTCCCACCCGCGCATCCCGAGTGGTCGCGGCCGCGCGGGGGCGCCTCCCCTCCCCCCCCGTGGGTGGTGCCGAGGGGGCGTGGCCTCGCGCGAGGCGACGGCGGGCGCGGGAGGCGGCAAGATGGCGGCGGCGGGGCCCGAATCGGGGGGCAGCAGCGGCAGCAGCGGCGGCCTCGGGGGTACGGCGGGAGCGCTGAAGCCGCGCGCTGGGGGGCGAGGAGGGGCTGCTGGGGGCGGGTGGGGCTGTGGGAGGTGGGGGGTCGGGCCCGGGGTGAGGTCGGGCAGTGTGGGGCTGAGAGAGGTGCGGGGTGGGCCTGGGGTGCGCTGAGGGGCTGTGAGGGGCGGGGCCCAGGACGCTGTTATGGGGTACGGGGGTGGAGGTGACGGCCTCCCCCTGCCGGGTTTGGGGTCCCGGCGGTTGGGGCTGCGGCATTCCGGGTATCTCGGCGGCCGTTTGGCACCACACGGGGGGCGGAGGGCTCCAGCACGGGGAGGGAGGGGGGGGGGCGGTTTGGCCGCCGTACAGCGCTGGAACTGGGGGCTGTGGGGCTGCCCACACATCCTGGGGGAGGGATGATGGGGAGCGAAGCGTCTGTGGGGCACAACAGGGTGCTCACGGCTGTGGCTCGGCCGTCTCGGTGTTGGGGGGGCCCTACGCCCCTTCCTGCCCCTGAAGTTGGGGGATGGGTCCGGTTTGGGGTGCTGGACGTGGGGCGGGAGTGGCTTCCACAGCCGGTCAGCATTCGGCAGCACCGTCCCTGAGTTCCCGTGGCAGAGTGCCGAGGCCATTACTGATTGCAGGGCAGGGCGGAGGGGGCTTCTGGTCGTCCCATGGAAGAAGGCCAGGGGCTGCCAGCCCGCGGGGCCTCACCTCGGCGGCCTCTTGGCGTTGCGTTCCTCGTTCCTGGGGCCTCTGGAAATGGGTCTCTGCCCCCTCCCCGCCCCCTTTGGCGGTGCTCCCTGCTGCTCCCACAGCACTGTGGGGAATAGGGGTCCGTGGCTCTGCCGGCTCAGGGTGAGGCTGCAGGGTCTCCTCCCGCCGTGCTTTGGGGTTCCCTTTGGGAGCCTGGAGCTGTCACACGTCTCATCTCTCCCACCTGGAAGAGGAGCTGCATCCAGAGCTTCACATCGGGGAGGAGATGCAAGTGCACGAGGCAACCTCTTCTACCTTCCTGCTGGGATCGGTGTTGCTGTTTGCTTTCGAGGGTGGTTTGGTGCTGGCCAGGGAGCCTTTCCTGCAGGATTTTAGTCCTGCTGGCAGAGCTGAGTGACGTGGGCCGTACGTGAAGTGCGCTCACCTCGGCTGCAGCGTTTAAAGCTCTTATCCCATCTCTGGGGCCTCTCACAGACTAAAGGGGGGCGGTGGTTTTGGTTTTGATTGCTCTGGGCACGGGGCTTTACTTTTTCCAGTGCAAAACCCCGAAGCATCTCAGACCCCAGTGAATGTGGGGCCGACTGTTCTGGCACAAAGCTTTGCTTTCTCCATGAGTAAACCCTAAAGCCGGCCCCACAGCTCAGTGTTCACCCTAGGGCCGATTACTCAGCGTCTTGCAGCTGAAATGCCGGGGACGGAAGGATTGGGGCGTCCCACCCTTCCTGCTCCCGGGGAAACACGGGGGAGGATTTCTCATTTTGCTGTTTTCGCTTTTGAAGCGGCGTGTGCCAAAAATGCTAATGCGGGATTTCGATCGTTTGGTTCTTTGTGCTTTGTAAGGACGGAGCTCAGAGAGAGAGTTGGGAGTTCATTGTCACCCTCCGGGGCTTCGGGCCCCTCCCCGGCGGCCGCAGACAAAAGAATCGCTCTCAGAATGGCTTCATCCCTTCTGGGGAGGAAATCGTCCCGGAGGGGTGAGAGCCGGCGGGGACTCGGCCCCTATAGGAGGGGGCAGAGCTTCGTGCCCAGCCCGTGAGCAGGATGACGGGCAGCCCCTCAACTGCTGGGGGCGGCGGTGACGTCGTGTTGTGGCTCCTGGAGCACTGAGCACACAGAGCTCCGTTGGTGCTGAGCTGCAGGCAGCCGGGCAGGGCTCCGCTCTGGGATGGAGACGAAGGAGGGCAGCCGGAGGCACGGGGAGCTGCTGTGTGGGGCTGGACGGAGCTCACCCCGTGGGGCAGCAGATGGGAGCCGCGTGGCTTTGGGGCCGGCGCTGACCCCGCAGTGACCGGGTTCTGCTGTGGAAGTAAAAGCTTCTGCTGCGTCGTCGCAGCACAGCTCCGCTCGCAGCACCTCGCAGTGCTTAATTAATTGTTCCACCCCCACAGACTCTGCCTCCCTCGCTCCCAGGGCTGAGGGATCCCTCACGGCTCGCCTTCATTCCCAGAGCGCCGGCCGAGTCCTGCAGTGCTTCCAGCAGTGGCTGCTGCTGTGGGCGATGCTCGCTGTGCTGCCCCGGCGCGGCTTCGCGCCCTGAGGTCGCCCTGCTCGGCTCACGCTGCGCTGTGCGTGGAAGGGCTGGCAGGGTGGCACGGCCGCGTTTCTTTCCGCGTTTCTCTGACTTTCTCAGGGACCCAACATCCCAAACAGCCGCTGTTTCTTGCAGCCGAAATTCCCGCTGCCCTCCACGTAACCTCTCTGTTTTTCCCTCGTCCAGATTTCAGCTTTTTGTGCTGCTCGGTGATGTCGTTCCGAAGAGGTTAGAAGCTCTGCGCTGCACGCAGCTCCTCTGCGCGGTAACCGACGCCGCCCGCCGTGCCGCAGTGGCTGTTTGTGCTCCGTGCCCCCGGCCGGCTTTGCACAGTGGCCCCCCCTGCTCCCACCTGCAGCTCTGACCCTGCGGGGTCGCTGGGGGCTGTGGGTGGAAGCACAGCGGGTGTCTCTGAGCCGTGTCCCGGCCCCAGCGGGTGCCGTGTTTGGGTGTGCTGACGTTTTGGCTTGTTATTTTTGTCTGACATCAGCAGAAGTGCGGCTGACCTTGGTCTGGCTTCAGATGTAGAGCTGGGTGTCAGTGCTGTCTGTTGCATGCTGCCGTGCCGCCAGGTGGGTGCTGGGGCTGCCGGCACTGAAGCCGAAGCATCTCCCGGCCCCTCAGAATGAGTTCTGTGCCCGTCTCTTGTGCTCAGCTTTGGTTTTTCCAGCCGCTACCCCTGGGAAGTACAGACTTTGGGTCTGAAAATGCTCCCGGGCAGCTGCAGCTGGAGGAGCCGCTGCAGCACGGAAGGGATTGAGCCCAGCACTGAGAGCGAAGGGAAAAGGTGGCTGCTGTGGGGCAGGGCGAGTTTGGTTTTGGATGTGACCTTAACCCGGATCTGCTGCCCCTGTCCAGGGCAAACCTTTGGGTCCTGCTGCTGTTTTTCAGCCTGGGTTCCAGTTACGGTTGAGAGACCGTTTGGTTCCAGCAGATCCAGAGCTGTGTGCTCCCCTGAGCTGCGTTGCTGTGTTTCGCTTACAGCTCGCAGTTTAACACCTTCGCTTCTCCGGGCAGCCTGTGTGTGTGTGGACAAAACCAGCCATAAAACCTGCCTTGGGTGCAGGGACCCAGGGGGCGATCGCATGGAGCCCCCAGCCCTGCTGCTGCCCTCACCGCTGATCAGCGCCTCGCTGGGGTGCTGCAGCTCGTTATGGCCGGGCTCCTGGGGTCCCCACGCAGCCTGGGCTCTGGTTGGACCCCCAGCAGCACCCCCTGCACAGGCAGGGCTTGGGTGTGAGCTCGTGGCTTGGCTTGTGTTCCCCCACTGCGTGCTGCGGGGTCCAGGCAGCGCGGTGGGGATCTGCTGCTCTGAGGGAGCTGTGGTTAAACCCTGCTGGAGCGGGGATTTGCATGGGTGATTAAATATTAACACAGCTAATCTCCGAGGGGATGAGGCTGGTGCTGCTGCAGAGGGGTTGCTGGGATCTTGGTGGTTTCAATTGATGAACTGGTAAATTTGTGTTTAAAAAGACAAATGAGATTGATTTGCTCTTGAACGGGTGCTGTATTGACATGGCTGGGATTTTTTCCCCATCCCCGCATCCTGGTGGAGCTTGGAAGCGGAATAGAATCAATAGGATTGCAAAAGACCTCTGAGATCATCAGGCCCAACTATCGGCATCCCCACCACACCCATAGAAACAGAATTGTTGAGGCTGAAGACTTCCAGGACCACCGAGTCCAATGCCAACCCATCCCACCAAGCCCATGTCCTCAACAGGATCAAGGGAGCGTTAGGGTTGGAAAAGACCTCTGAGGACAGGGCTGAGATGTGGAGAACTGAAAGGTCCGTGGGTTCCTGCGGGCTGAGATGTGGAGATGAGAAAGGTCTGTGGTTTTGTAGGGCTGACACGGGGTCTGTGCTGCAGGGCTCATCCCAGTCAGCAGCTGCTTGGCTGTGGGGAGGAGTTGCAGGGGGTGTCGTGGTGGGGTGCTGCAGTGGGTGCTGTCACAGCTCCCAATTAAAATCCTACAGTGTCTGAAGCAGACAGAAGAAACGACAAGGAAATAGCAGCCAAGTCTGCCTGTTTCAGGCCCAAAGCTGCTGTTCTCTGCTCCGCCTTTGGGCCAGGTCTGCCTGGCAGCTTTGTGGCACAGAGAGACATCGCAGCCCTCCCTGTGCCCAGAAACACCCCCAGCCCCTCTGCCGGGGGGGAGCAGCCGTGGGTCGGTGCTCCTCTGCTGCCGCCGTCGCTGGGCTGCTCGTGTGCTGTGCTTCCCTCCTCCTGACTGCAGTTTTTTGTCCCACAGGGCCGTCTGCCATCAAAAAGTCGCTCACCCCAGAGGTAAGTTTGTGGCTAAGAGCTCCAAACACCCAATTCCTGCCTCGGAAATGGGGTTGGGGCGGGAGAAGGAGAGCCAGGGGAAGCACAGCAGTGAGAGCAGCCTTTGGGTTCCCCCGCTGTGCTGGGGCTGAGCCGTCCTGCCAGCAGAGCAGCCCTGTGCTCAGACTGGAGCCAGCCAAGTGAGTTCCTGAGCCGTGAGTCAGGGCTGTGTGCGCAGCTTGCCTAAGCTGCTTCCCCAGGGAGTTGGCCTTGCTGGGCTTTGTGACAGCAGGGACAGACGAAGAATCCCGCAGAGGGGCCCGTGGTGGCTGCAGGTGGATGGCCGGAGCTGCTGCTGATCGCTTCCCTGGACATCAGCACGTGACACGGCGCGGTCCTGGCTGTGCAAATGTCATTGCTGTGCTGGGTGCTTTGGGAGCACGCCGTGTTCTGAGCCCCCCTTCTCACCACCTTTTCCTCCATCCCAGATGCCAGGCTCTTCAGGGCAGCCGGGCTCTCAGACGATAAAGAAGGGGCACAGAGGGGTGGATTCCACGGGTGAGACCACCTACAAGAAGGTGAGCGCCGCCGCACGGCTCTGCTGCTCTGCGTGATGTGGATCCCAGCCAGGGCAGCCAAGGCTGGGTGTCGCTGGGTGCTGCAGGGTGGCCACGGCGGTCGCTCGGAGGGAGCGCAGCGCTCCGAGCTGTGAGGGCAGTGGGCAGAGCTGCTCCTTTCCCACAGCTGCTCTTACAGCCTTCAGAAGGAGATCGCTTCTAAGCGCTGCCCGCTGGCAGCAACTTCCCAGCCCTTTTCTGGCTGATCCTGTGCTCCTGGGGCAGGGCCTTCCTACAGGTCTTGTGGCATTCCTGGAGTGTCAAAAAGGGGGATTGTTAGGGCTTCGCCACAAGCTGCAGCTGTGGCAGCTCTGTGGATGCTGCTTCCACTCTGCTGGGCTTCACAGGGATGGTGACACCTCTGATGTGAGTTCGGGTCTGGGGGGAGGTGGAGCAGATGAGGGCTCTGTGCACTTGGTGCAGGCAGAGCTTCTCGTCCAGATCTCTGCCCCAGAGCTGCTCTGGTCATGGTGTGAGCGCATGGCAGGAGTTTTGTTACGGTGTCTGTCCTGCACTGACCGCTGCCTTCTGTTCACTGCCTCTGGATCCCTCTGAAATCCAGGGGCGGAGGTTGGGCAGCAGTGGGAGGAGAAGGGAGCAGAGCTGCCGCAAAATGCCTGAAGTGTTTTTTCGCGAGGGCCCCTGGCGCTGCTGGAGTGCTGCATGGGGCCGATCTGGGAACAAGATTACTGGGCAGGCCGCCTTTTTTCCATCCCTTCTTTTTCCAGGGGTGGCGAGTTGTTTTTCTGGAGTTCTTTCCCCTGTGGAAGTGATGATAAACAGGCGGCCAGCTGCTCGGCCTGCCTCGCTGGTGGATGGAGGAGGGAAACTCTTGTTCCTTGGCAACGTGGCTCTGTGCTGTGTGCTCACCAGCAGGCAGGGCCGCGTGCGCTCAGCTGAGAGCTGTGGTCAAGCAGCACAGGGTGTGGGGGGGAAAAGGAATCGCATTCTTCCTCCCTCCCCCAGGAAACCAGAGGAAATGGGAAATGCAGGCAGGCAGCTGGAGAGGAGCAGGGTGTTGTGCGGTGGCTGCGTGGCACGGGGTGTTGGGCTGGTGTGGGAAGGGTTCCCGCAGGGTGAGGTCATGTGCTGCACAGAGGAGAACTCCTGATTCCAGCAGCTGTGCAGGAACACAGTCTGGCATTGTTCTGGGACAGCTTGAGCACATGGGCAGGAGTGGCTGCCTGTCTGCACTCCTTATTTTGACATGACAGAGAACTTTAGGGCTGAGGAGCCCTGACCTGGCACCAGTCAGGAAAGTGGGGTGGTGCGTGCTGTGCTGTGTAGCCCTACTGAGCTGCTGCCCGCTGTGTTTGGTGGCAGGGGAACGAGGCCACCTCCCCTCTAAGAGCAGGATGTGGGGGGAGCAATGAAATTGTGCTCAGGTCCTTCACAGCTCAGCCAGAACTGAGCAGAATGTTACTGGGGTGGGACAGGGAGGTGTTCGCCCTGCTGCTGCCCGCTGCAGGCTGCCCCGGGACAGAGCCGTGGTGGTGCTGCTCGTTGAGAAAGAAGCCAGCAGGTAGAAGTGGTGGCTGTGCAGTGCCCCTCTAACAGCACACTTCTGAGCATGGAGCTCTCTTTCCTCCAGCTCCTCTCATTCCTCTTCCCAGTTGGCCACTTATGTTGCCTAACTCGTTTCCTTTGCTCCTCCAGACAACGTCATCAGCCTTGAAAGGTGCCATCCAGCTGGGCATCACACACACGGTTGGGAGCTTGAGCACTAAACCTGAAAGAGACGTTCTCATGCAAGATTTCTACGTAGTAGAAAGTATTTTCTTCCCAAGGTCAGTGCTTGCTTCCTTCCTTTCTGTCGTGCTTTGGCAGCGGTAGCAGCAGTAGCTCCCAGCCCTGCTCGCTTTTAGGAGGCAGCAGCAGAGCTGGGGGAGCACAGCTGTGCTGAGCAGAGGCACTGCGTGCCGAGCAGCTCCGTTTCTGCAGAGCTCTGCTGTGGCTCCCATAGGTCTGCTGAACACATAAATGCAGCTGTGCTGCTGTGCGCCTCCCTGGGCTGGACGCGTTCAGTCCTGGCGGTGCGTTAGGGGGCAGCCAGAGCAGGCCTTGCTGCTCAGATCGTCTCTTAGGAGCCCTGAATGATGCAAACCCACGTGTGCCCTCTCTCCTCGAGCAGTGAAGGCAGTAACCTCACCCCAGCTCACCACTACAACGATTTCCGCTTCAAAACCTACGCGCCGGTGGCCTTCCGATATTTCCGGGAGCTGTTTGGGATCCGGCCGGACGATTACCTGGTACGGCTGCCGGGTGCTCGGGGGGGTTCCTGTGCTCTGTGTCTGCTTGGAGCTCTGGGAGCACCGCAGTGGATGCGGTCCGTGGCCCCGGGGTTTGCCTGGTGCTGTCTGAAGGGCAGCAGCGCCGTGCTGCCGTGTTCCACCTCTGCTTTTCTCTCCTCCTCCTCCCCAGTACTCGCTCTGCAGTGAGCCCCTCATTGAGCTCTCCAACTCTGGGGCCAGTGGATCCCTCTTCTACGTGTCCAGCGACGACGAGTTTATCATCAAGACAGTTCAACACAAAGAGGCAGAGTTCTTGCAGAAGCTGCTTCCTGGCTACTACATGGTAAGTGAGGCCAGGAGAGGCTTTCTTTGCCCGTAGCACTGCGTGCTCCCTGCTGGGCTCTGTGCCACGAGCCTCACACAGGGCCCTGCGTGTCCCTGTGTGGTGAGCAGGGAGTTCTGCACTCGTGGGCTGATCTGACCCTCGGCTTTGCAGGGTGACGTTAACAGTGGGCAGTGCCGGCCTGTCGCCCCTTCCCCACCCTCACCTCTTTGTTTCTTTGGCAAATGCTTTGGACTGCTGCCGGCCCCACTGGGAGGAGCAGGCAGCTCTGCTGGGCAGAATGTAAATAGTCAGCGTGGCTCTGAAGGCATCTCTGCATCTTTGGTTCTTTTAGAACTTGAATCAGAACCCAAGGACGCTGCTGCCCAAGTTTTACGGCTTGTATTGTGTCCAAGCCGGGGGCAAAAACATCCGCATTGTGGTGATGAACAACCTGCTGCCACGTTCTGTGAAGATGCACCTCAAATACGACCTGAAGGGCTCCACCTACAAACGCAGGGCGTCCCAGAAGGAGAGGGAGAAGGTCTTCCCCACCTACAAGGACTTGGATTTTATGCAGGACATCCCCGATGGCCTCTTCTTGGACTCAGACATGTATAATGCTCTGTGCAAAACGTTGCAGAGAGACTGTTTGGTAAGTGGAAGTGCTGGGAGGAATTCTTTTGAACCTTTCTGATGGCACCCAGCAGTCCTGCATCCTCTCCTGGGCGTGCTGGCTGGACAGCCTGCAGTTTGGCAGCACTGTGGGCAGGAAGCCGTGTGCCCTCTGCCTGTGCCAGGCGTGCAGGGTCCGGGCAGTGGGCTCAGCTCTGAGCCTGCCAGCAGCTGTGCGAGAGTGCAGTCCCTGCTCTGGGTCTCCTGCACAGGAGGAGTACTGCAGGCCTTCCTGGCGCCTGGCAGAGGCAGGCTGTGGGTTGAATTCATCCCCTGGCCATGCTGGGGTCCAGGTGGCACCGCCGGCGATGCTGTGGTGCCCCGTCGGCAGCTTCACGAGGCTCACGGTGGCAATGAGGCTTTGTCGACTTTCTGCCCAGGTCCTGCAGAGTTTTAAAATCATGGATTACAGTTTGCTGGTGGCAATCCATAACATGGACCTGGCACAGAGGGAGCACGCGATGGCAGACGGGACGTCCCAGGCCGACACGCGGCGCCCTGCGGCGCAGAAAGCCCTGTATTCCACTGCCATGGAGTCCATCCAGGGGGAGGCCCGCAGGGGAGGCACCATAGAGACAGACGACCAGTGAGTGTGTGCTGCTCTGCTGCAGGGCTGCCTTCGTGTGCGCTTTTGGGGTGCCTGCTGCTGCCTTTCTGAGACGTGCTGGTGGCTCTGAAAGAGAAGGGGATGGGTCTTCAGCGGGGCCTGTGAGATGGGATGAGGGGAAATGGTTCCCAGCTGAAAGAGGGGGGTTTAGGCAGGGCACAATAAAGACAGTGGTTACGAGAAGGGCACTGAGGTGCTGGCACAGGATCCCCAGAGGTGGGAGGGTGGCTGTGCCCCGTTCCTGCAGACTCCCATGGGGAGGCTGGTGAGCTGTGAGTGCAGGTGGAGCTGTGGTGCCCCTGCTCATTGAGGGGGGGTGAGGTGCCCTTTCAGGGTCTCTTCCAGCTCCAACCATTTATGATTCTGTGCTTTGGTTGATCCCTGCTGCCTCCATCCCTGTGGGCAGCAGCGGCAGCTCACTGCAGTTGCTTGCTCTCCTCGTGGCTGGGTTGGGATCAGTCTCCAGTGAAACTGCACAGCTCTGGGAAGGTCGAGCAAACCTCAGCAGCATGCGCTGTTCTCTGTCCTTGCAGGATGGGGGGCATTCCTGCCCGCAACGCCAAGGGGGAGAGGCTGCTCCTCTACGTGGGCATCATCGATGTGCTGCAGTCCTACAGGTAGGCAGTCTGAGGGCAGCTGTGTGTCGCGTGGGAGGCACAGCTTCGCGCTGCTGTCTGTGCTCCATGTGGAGGTCTGGCTTCCAAGGGAGTTAAGATGCATTTTATTGGCTGCCTTTATTTCTCTGTTGTTATTTTCTTGGAGTTGGGTGTTTGGGGATTGGTTTCCGGGTCTTGTTTACTGCGTTTGCCTCCCGTTCCCAGGAGGGATCGCCTCTGGCAGAGGTTATTTCTGTGCTCAGTGGTTGTTGTGTGCAGGAAGTGGTGAGGAGAAAACAAGCAGTGGCTTAGAATGGCCACAGCCACTGCTCGGGTGCTGCTGGTCAGAGAAGCTCAGCGCCGTGCGGGCACCAAACGGCACAAATTGGTGTGAAACCTCGTCTTTGTTCTCTGCTTTGTCAGGTTTGTGAAGAAGCTGGAGCACTCCTGGAAGGCCCTTGTGCACGATGGGGTAAGCAGCAAGCACAGCACCCTCACCTGTTCAGCTCGCTGTGGGTGCTCACTGCGCAGTGTCCTGGGTTTCCAAGGGCTCTGTGTGTTGCTCTTCTACATGAAGCAGTGCCCAGAAACGTTCCCAGGCACCCAGAAATATTCCCAGGCCAATGCAGCACGGGTCAGGGCTGGGGGGCTGCCGTTAACCGCCATCACTTACTAATGCAGGTTTCCACACTGCTCATCCCTTTCAGGACACCGTTTCTGTGCACAGACCCAGCTTCTATGCTGAAAGATTCCAGTGCTTCATGTGCAACACAGTATTCAAGAAGATTCCCTGTAAGTTCTCCACGTGGGGTCCCTGTGTGCCTGGTGTGCCTGGCTTCGTGCTCAGCAGCTGGGGCTGGGGAGAAGCACAGCAGTGTGTGAGGGCATCGGGGAGCCTGCCGTGCCGCATTCCCTCCTCCTGCGTTGTCCTTGCTTTGCAAATGCGGCCGCACGGAGCTGCTTCATGCATCAGTGTGTTTCCCTGTGTGCCAGCTGGGACGGGGCTGTGTTGGGTCTCCTCCTCCTGAGCTCTGTGCGGTAGTGAAGCTCTGCCTTGTTGTTTTTTTTGTCTTGAAGTGAAGCCATCCCCTTCCAAGAAGAGCCGCTCCGGCACCGCAGTTCCGAGGCGCAGCTGTCAGGGAGGAGTGCCTTCCCAGCTGCACGTGTCGTGTGAGACAAAAGCACAAGTCACGACAGAGGCGGATGTGGAGCAAGGTTGGTGTCTGGGCTGGGGGGAGAGAAACGCCTCCCAGGGGTTCCTCAGCTTGCTTTGGCACGGCAGAGCTTTCTGCAGGAGCCTGCGGGTGATTTCGCAGTGCTGCTTTGGATTGGATTTCCAGCAGGGCAGGGCTGGTCCTGCCGTGCTCACGGGTCTGAGGTGCCGCGGGGGGGATCCTCACCCCGCCGTTACGGGGGGCTGCGCCCGCACCTCGTGCAGGTGGTGGAACTGCTGTGCTTCCACTCAGGTTCCCACCTCGGCCGCCCGGATCTCCTGCCCAGGACTCTGCCTGTGGACGAAGCCAACAGCGATTCCGTCGCCACCACTTTGTCCACCTCCTCCTTGGGCAGCGGAGGTCTCCACTCGCCCGCAAACAGGTGAGGCTCCGGGGGGCCCTGGCACGAGCAGCCGCTGTGCAGCCAGTGAGCTCAGTGCCGGGCCAGCATGCGTGCGGGGCGCTGCCGCAGCCCGCTGTGGTCCTGAGCACACGCTGCGGTTTTGCGTCTCTGCTTGGGCTGTGCGGGCGTCCCGGCGGCTTTTCGTTCTTTGTGCATCCCGTGCTTGATGGCCTCTTCCTGGAGCTGAGATAATTGTGCTGATTACGAGGCGCTGCCAGAATGCGCCAGGAGCGCGGCGTGGTGCTGCAGGGCGCTGGGGCGACGCGCAGGGCTGGGCGCAGCTCTGTGCCTCTGGGTGTCCCTGGAGCTGCGGTGCATGGCTGAGGAGCAGATGGCTGCCCTGGAATGTTCCCTTTGTTGCCCAGTGGTGAGAATTGAGGGTGACCAGGAGGAGCTGTGGTCAGAGCATGATCCCATGCGCAGAAGTTCTGAGGTGCTAACTCCTCTTCCTGGAAGCGGTCGTAACCCACCTTCCTCATTCCTGCACCGTGGCACTAATGAAGGTGTCTGCTCTGTCCTCAGCTGCAGGAGGACGAGATATGATTGCAATTCGCTCCTTTTATTCCCTCTCTAAAACATGGAAACTTCTCGGTAGGGATCCTAAACCAGAGCTGCTCCTTCCCAGTCCGTCCGCATGCCCGGGGAGTTGTGTGTCCTTAACCAGGGTGTCTCTCCTTCGATCTCTGCGTAGGTCAGTGGGCGTGCAGGTGCACAAAGCCGACAGCTCAGCAAAGGATTTCGCTAGGACTGCTGCCTTCCTGTCTAGGTGAGGGAGGAACCACGCTTTGCTGGAGGCCTTCTCCCATCCAGAGGGTTTGTTTGGGGAGATGTGCCCTGAGGCGCTGCCTCGTGCTGCCCGTGGTTCGTAGGTGATTGGTTCAGCACAAAATCAGTTTGTTGGAAGGAGGTTAGAGAGGGGTGCCTGCAGAAGCAGTGGTCTGGAGGAGTGTTTGTCACTCTGGGGGGAGACCTGAGTGAGTGAGCCCAGCAGGGTCAGCCTGCTCCAGAGCTTCTTTGGTGCAGCAGCGGTGTGCCCTGCTGCAAGGTGCCAGGCTGCAGAGGGGATGTGACACTGAGCAGGGAGGGATGCTGCCAGGGAGCAGAGTGACGCCCGTCTGTCAGATCAGGCATGGGTGAGTCCTGTTTTGTGCAGAGAGAAAGGGGAGCTCGATGCATGCGGTCGCTGGGGATGCCCTGGGGATGCAGTGAGGGGAATGCTGCCCTCACTGCTTCTCTTTTGGAGCACTGCTGCAGCTGGGAGAGGTGCAGGGATCAAAGCCGAGGGCTGATGGTGTGTTCAGCAGCTGGATTGCACAGCTTGTGCCAACCTGAACAGCAGTGACCCAAACGAGGCAGCTGGAAAGGAACTGCCTGCAGTTGGAGGTGGGAGCCTTCAGTGCACTCAGCACTGGGTGGCACTGAGTCTGGTCAGGTTGGTGGTTGGACTTGATGACCTTTGAGGGTCTTTTCCAACCTAATGTTTTTGAGCCTGATCCTATGACAAATTCACAGAGCTTTGAAGCACACTAAGAGCACAGCCTGGTTCTGAGGTGTGTGGGAGTTCTCTGCTCCAGCCCAGCTCTGTCATTCAGCTTCTGGCAGAGGGTCCTGAGGTTTGAGGCACTGGGAGTGTCAGCTGCTGGCGAGGAGCTCTGGGGGTGGCTGGGCTTAATTTTGGGGGGACGTCTTACTGCGCTGAGCACTGGGATTGGCCCCAGTCGGGTCCTGGGGGCACAGCACTGTAACCAACAGTGAGCGTTCTGTCGGGAGAGGATGCAGCTCCATGGGATGCATCCTGCTGGGGGGATGCGGCCCCATGTGCTGCGTCCTGCAGGACGTCACTCCCATTTGCTGCACGGGAGCTTTGCCAGCAGCTTTTTGCACAGCAGTGCCTCCATTGCAGTGCCTCCATTGCAGTGCCTGGCGCTGACGTCGGCGCTGTGTTGCTGTGTCCCCGTGCTGCTTTCCCCCCAGACCCCCATCGTGGCAGTGCGGTGCTCGCGGGCTCCATAGGGGCTCACCTCACCAGGTTGGACGTGCAGGTGTTGCTCCAGGCAGCTCTGTTCTGACCCCTTCCATGGGCTGCTCTGCTGTGCTGGGCGCAGCAGGAGAGGTGATTTCATGGCCGCTCCCACTTCAATGCTGCTTTACAGCTCTTCCCCCTCTGTCTCCCCAGCAGCTCCCCAGGACCGTCAGTCCCTGAGCCCTCCTCGGAGCTGAGGGAGCAGCTGGAAGAGCTGCAGGAGACGGAGATCAGCTTCGTGAGTAACCTCTGAGGAGGGGCTGAGTGGTTCAGGGTGGGAGGGGACGTGGGGGGCAGACCCTCACCCAGCTGTGTGCATGGTGGCCCCGCCTGCCCCATGACACGCAGCCTGGCGGTGTCCACCACCCCACAACCTTTTGTTGGGGGAAGCAGGAGGTAAAGCGGAGCTGCTGCACTCCTGGGCACCCAGGGTGGTCAGGTGGCGGGGATGAGAGCTGGCCTCAGCCTCTGTGGGGATGATAAATGCTGGCAGAGCCCCCGGTCCATGGGGAGGGGGTGGCTGCGCGTCCATCCAGGCAGAGCAGCTCCAGGCGCGGCTGCTGGGCTCCCCCCACACTTCTGCCCCCACATTTCTCCCCCCACTTCTCCCCCCCCACCAACATCTCCCCCTCTTCTCATTGCAGTGAGGCAGCTCTGAGCCGACGCTGGCAGCAGGAGGCTCCGTGCTCTGCGTGGGCTCTGCGCGCTCAGCCCCCGTTGCTGACCTTCGTGGTTTTTAGTTTGTTTTTTGGTTCTTGGATTTTTTTGTGTTTTTTTTTTTTTTTTTTTGTGGGGTTTTTTTTTTTTTTTTGGAAATGTTACCTGGAAGCTGAGAGCCAGGCGGGCTGCGCAGGGCGGGCAGCAGAGCGCATCGGCGGAGACCTCCAGGCACTGCGCCGCTGCCTGAGCCCAGGGCCTGAGCCGCCCTGAGGGGAGGAGGAGGAAGAGGAGGAACTGCTCCACTGGACTGAAGGCCTTTGGAAAAAGGCTCTGACCTCCAAGGCTCGCAATGCTGCCACCACAAACTGCCGCCCGTGGGAGTTTTGGCCCCGCCGGCAGTTTGCCTCGGAGCCACGCGTTCACCTTTTGTATTTCCAACGAGTTTTTAACGTCGGCGTTTCCTGCAGTTCAGCTCCAGCCCTTCCCCTCAGCACTGCGCCGCAGCTCTGCTCTGTGCGACCGCAGGCGGGGCCCTGAGCCGCGCTGTGCAGGAGGGCTGCGTGCCCTCGGCGCCCCGTTGCGGATGCAGATCTTTGCCCTGAGCCCAGCTGTGGGAATCTGTCACCATTTCTTCGCAGACGGACCCAACCTGGCAGCCCCACGGGGCTGAGCTGCGTTTGCACGGAACGCTTTTTGGTTTTATTTTTTAGGATAGGAAGCGACTCCAGCCGCGTTCCCAACGGGTTGGAATCCTCCGTTGGTTTTTCTTTTTTATATATTGGAGAAAAAAAGAAAAAAAAAAAAGAAAAAAAAAAAAAGCCAAGGGATGTAATTGTGCCCCTGCGGGGTTGCAGTGTGCAGAGGAGCCCAGGAGCGGTGGTGCAGAGGGCGGCGCTTTGCGGCGCTGTTTCGGAGCCGGCGCTGCCACCTCCCACCTCGAGTGGGCACTGATATTTTTTTAAGGAAAAAACAAAAACACCCATGGAAAAAAAAAAAACAAAACAAAACCCAACATCCCAACCCCCTTTTGGATGTTATTTCTTAGTTTTGTTTGAAAAGACCCCACGGAATGGCCTTATCCTCTGGGCATCCAGACCCAGAGCGGGGTTCTGCGGCTCCCGGTGCCCCCGGTGCCGTCCCACGCCGACCCCACCAGCGCTGGGAGGAAGGTGGGCTCTTCCCCCGCTGCTGCCCTCACCTTACAGCCAAAATAACTGTCTATATTAGACGCTGTTCTTACCTTCCCTCCCATCTCCTGTAATGGTTCGTGTTTCTCGTTCTGTTTTTTTTTTACCAGGAGGGAAGAAAACCAACTCCCCGTTCTTTTTTTCCCTATGATTTAATATTTATGAAGTTGTATTTAAGTGGTTTTGTTTCATTTTATTTGTTTTCTGGGGATAGCTGTGCAGCAGTAGGGAGATGGGGGGTGTTGTTTCTATACGGGATCTTCCAACCTTTGCTTTGTAATGGGTTTTCAGAGGGTTTTCAGAACAACTGCCTTTTTTTTTTTTTTTTTTTTTTTTTTTTTTTTGCATCTGGAAGTGGCGACAACTGCTGTTAAATGGCTCCTGAACCCCCCCGGGGCCCTTCTACAGCAGGGAGGGCTGTGGGGCCGCCTGTGGGACCACCCGATGGATCCTGGGAGCATCCAATGGATCCTGGAATCAATTGATGGATCCTGGGAGCATCCAATGGATCCTGGCCTTGTCCAATGGATCCTGGGACTACCTGTTGGATCCTGGCCCCTGATGATGGATTCTGGACCATTGAATGGATCCTGGCATGGACTTAAGGATCCTGACCTCAGCTGGTGGGTTGTTGGATCCTGGAACTGCCCAATGGGTGCTGGAATGAGTTGATGGATCCTGCCCTCGCTCAGTGGATCCTGGCATGGACTTCAGGACGATGACCTTAGGTGATGGATCCTGGCACCACATGGTGGATTCTGGGGCCATCGAATGGATCCTAGGGTCATCTGCTTGGTCCTGGGAAGGGTTGATGGATGCTGGCGTCACCCCATGGCTCCTGGCACGGACTTAAGGATCTTAGCCCCACGTGACGGATCCTGGCACCGCGTGATGCATCCGGCCCCATGTGATGGGTCCTGATGGATCTGGTCCTACCTGCTGGATGCTGGTGGGGGTTGATGGATCCCAGCACCTCCTGATGGATCTGGACCCACTGGATCCTGGCACGGACTTAAGAATCCTGGCCCCAGCCCCTGGATCCTGGCACCTCCTGCTGGATCTGCTCTCAGGTCACAGATCCCAGCACCTCCTGTTGGGTTCAGACCAGCGTGGTCCCTCGGCAGTGGGAAGGCCCCGTCCGTGTCCCCATGGAGCTGCTCGTGTCGTGGACGTTGTCGTGTTACCTGTGCCGTGTCGCCGCCAGCGGCTGTTCTGTGGATACCTGCGGCCCTGAATACAGCGTGTGCTCCTGCAGCCGGCTGCCTCCACGCCTGCTTTGTGGGGAGGGGGGCGGGGGGCTGCTGCGTGTCTGCCATTGATTGTCCTGGTGCTGGGGGGGGGTCCCAAAGGGCCTCTGTGTCCCTCTGTGGGGTCTGGAGCCCTCCTGGGGAGGGAATTTGTTCTCCTGAGCACGTTGTGGGGTCAGAGCAGGGGTTGGGTTGGAAGGGGCCCTTGGAACCCTCTGCTCCCATTCCCCGCCATGAACAGAGACGAGGTCCCCTCCGCTTTTCTGTGGTTTTATGGGTTGGAGGTTGGCCTCCAAGGACCCGTCCAGCCCCCCCCCCATCTTTAACCTCCAATGTCCCGTCCAGCCCGGCCCCCCCGTGGTTCTGTGGGTGATCATTACGATCGCAGACCATCTTGGTGTCACGGATGGAGATGCTGAGTGCAGCTCCCAGCGCTGACCCCGCGGGGCAGCGCCGTCTCCGCTCTCCACCCGCGGAGCCTCGGCTGCAGCTGCGGGTTCGGTCCCACCTTCAGCTCCTCGCCCGCCCGCCATCCCCGCAGGGCTCTGGGGCCGAGGACGCGTCTGAGGGAGGAGGCGGGAGGCGACAGGGACAGAACTACAACGCCCAGCGTGCTCCGCGCGCCTCGCGTTCGAGCACGGGCGGCGCCCATTGGGCGGCGGCGCGCAGCCAATCAGCGGGCTCCTTGTTGAGAGGGCCGTGAGGCGGCTCTGAAGGAAAGGGGCAAAGATGGTTCTGGAGAGCACCATGGTGTGGTGAGCGGGCCGGGCCGGGCCGGGAGCGCGGCAACCTCCGCCTCGGTCCTTCTCCCTTCTCCCTTCTCTTTCTCCCTTCCCCGCGTCCCGCTGCGCTTCGTGGGCTGCGCGGCGCCGCCGAGGGTTTCCCTGAGTCATGGCGGGTTGGGGCACGGCCGGGCCCGGGGGGGGGGGTTAAGAAGGGCCCTATGAGGGGGGCGGCTGCAGGGGGCCGGCACCGCTGTGCTGCTGTGGTTCGGTGACCGTAACGATCGTCTGCAGGACTGGGGTGGGGAGGGGAGGGAAGGGGAAGGGAGGGGGCCTGGAAGGTGAACTGTGGGATGGTTGGGTTGGAAGGGTCCTTGAAGGTGATTCATGGAGTGGTTGTGTGGGAAGGGTCCTTAAATATTAGCCGTGTGATGGCTGTATTGGGTTGTATTGGAAGGGTCCTTGAAGATCAACTGTGGGATGGTTGGGCAGGAGGGGTCTTTAAATATCAACCGTGGGATGGTTGGGTGGGAAGGGACGTTGGCAGTGGGACTGAGGGCCCCCTGAGCGTGTTTGTGGCTGACACTGAGCTGCAGCCCTGAGGGATGTTGTTTTTTCAGCGTTGACAACAGTGAGTACATGAGAAATGGGGACTTCTTACCCACTCGCCTGCAAGCTCAGCAGGATGCTGTCAACATCGTGTGCCACTCCAAGACCCGCAGCAACCCCGAGAACAACGTGGGGCTCATCACCTTAGCCAAGTAAGGGGCTGGCCGGGGTTGGTTAAAGTGGGGCTGGAGTCTGGGGGCAGGGCAGTGGGGTCACTGCTGTGTGTACGTGGATTGCACGCTTTGCTTAGGAAACTGGGCTCCACATCTTGGCCCTGTGTGCTCAGACCCCACAGAGCTGAGCGCTGCAGACCTGCAGGAGCTGTGGGAAGGAGGGGGGGAATCCTCATCCTGTAGCAACAGAGGGTTTCACAGAGAGGTTCTCAAACAGCTTCAGTGCAGTGTGTTTCTCTTGCAGTAACTGTGAAGTGTTGACCACGCTCACTCCGGACACGGGACGGATCCTTTCAAAGCTACACACAGTGCAGCCCAAAGGAAAAATCACCTTTTGCACAGGGATCAGAGTTGCTCACGTAAGAGGTTGTCTGTTACTCCAAACCGAGCCTGCATCCTTCTTTGTAACATCTGATGGCTGAGCGTGTCCTGTTAGATCTGCTCCTGACTCTGCTGCTGAGCAAATCCTTGGCTTTGCCTCAGAAACCTTTGTAAAATCCAGTGTGAAAGCCCAGCCTTGGGAAGCTTGCTGTGCTGCAGGGGCCGCGCTGCACGGCAGCTCACACTCTGGGTGTCTGGAAATGAGAAGTAAATTGGGACAGGAGGGGTGGAGCTGCCCACCATGGAGTCTGGCCACAAGGGCAGCTCCCTCCCCAGGTCTGGGTTTGGGGAGAAGGAGGAGGAGCTGCCACGCAGCCCAGTGGGTCTCTGCTCCTGTGTGTCTGTGCACGGCTGCCTCCCGGCCGTCCTCCCTCCTGGAGCTGCTCCTTAAGCACGATGTGACTTTGTTTTGCAGCTGGCTCTGAAGCATCGCCAGGGCAAGAATCACAAGATGCGAATCATTGCCTTTGTTGGGAGCCCTGTAGAAGATAACGAGAAAGATGTGAGTAGCACCAGTCCAAGCAGAAAATGTTGTCTCTGCTCTCCACGTGCCCCTAAACCAGATGGATGGCTTGGTCCTTGCCCTGCTCTGGGAGGAAGGCTGTGCCCCAGCAGGGACAGCGTGGGCTGCAGCTGGGCGGCTGATCTGCGGCTTTGCTTCTGGATCCTGAGGGCTGTCCCCCGGTTTCCAAAGGGAGGGCTGGGGTTGTGAGAGCTGAGATGTGGGCAGTGAGAAGCCAAAGCCGCTGTGTCTCTTTGTTGCAGCTGGTGAAGCTGGCAAAGCGTCTGAAGAAGGAGAAGGTCAACGTTGACATTATCAACTTTGGAGAAGAGGTGAGACTTGGGCTGCATTTTTCCAGTTAAGGTCTGAGCCAAGGGGGTCAGGGAAGAGTGGGGCCTCGGCCCCTTTGTGGTGATGGTGAGGTTAATGTTTCCCTCTGGGGAGGCCCTTCTTGTTTTGCTGCAAGCCTCGTTATCTTTCCCCGTGGAAACAGCAGAGCTGTGTGCCCCCAGGCAGCATTTCTGACCCCTTGGCCTGGGGTTTGTGTCCCAGGTAGTTCTGCTCTGTGTCTGGATTTTGGTGGGAGGAGAGGGATGATGGCGGCCTGAGGGGCAAGCATGGCATCGCCTGGATCGGTGCAGCTAGTGAGGCTGCCAGCTGTGAGGGCAGCATGGGGGGAGCCGAGCCCCCAGCCCCTCTGTTCGCCCCTAGGAAGCCAACACGGACAAACTGACGGCCTTCATCAACACTCTGAATGGCAAGGATGGCACGGGCTCCCACCTGGTCACGGTGCCGCCGGGGCCCAGCCTGGCCGATGCCCTCATCAGCTCCCCCATCCTGGCTGGTGAGGGGGGGGCCATGCTGGGCCTCGGTGCCAGCGACTTCGAGTTCGGCGTGGATCCGAGTGCCGACCCAGAGCTGGCCCTGGTGAGTGGGGCGGGGCGGCAGCGTGTGCTGTGCTGTGCGGTTCTATTGTGGGGTGCTCCCCGCTCAGCGCTGCTCTGTCTCCATCTCTGCAGGCTCTGCGTGTCTCCATGGAGGAGCAGAGGCAGCGGCAGGAGGAGGAGGCCAGGAGGGCTGCGGCCGCCTCTGCAGCTGAGGCTGGGATTGCTGCCACTGGAGGGGACGGTGAGGAGCTGCGTGGGGAGCGGAGCTGCTCAGCTGGGGACTGTTGGGATGGAGCGTGGCTGCTGAGGGGTGTCCCGCCGTAACGCTGCGGGAAGTGGGTGCTGGATGTGGCAGAGGCGTGTTCTGGGCAGAACCCAGCCGTGCAGAATCTCACAGAATCACAGTGCAGCCTCACTGCAGCGCTCTGAGCAGCTCCAGCCTGGAGCTTCCCTTGGCTCCTACTGAAACTCCCCATCTGTGTGGGGGAGCAGGGGGTCCGGGGTGGGCAGACGGGGGTTCTGGGTGCTGGAGGGGTGCGGTGTGAGCGGCCCATGCTCAGGCAGCACTGCTGGCTCCTGGCTGGGCTGTGAGCGTGGCTGCTGTCCCCGCAGATTCGGACGATGCTCTGCTGAAGATGACCATCACCCAGCAGGAG